GTTATTTACTATATCATGGTGAAGGTTCTCTCTAAGCCAAGAACAACAAAGGTACCAAATCACATGTCTTTTTGTTTGTCCTTATTGTAAGAAAAATAATCACTTACACTAAGTGTTGGTGAAGACCTGATATGAAATGTAACAAATATAGTTAATTTGGACATATAGAAAATATATGCAAATCACAACCAAAAAAAGTTGTCAAGGTTATAGACAGTGGCGGATCTTCTTGAGAGCTGAATGGGGTCGTGCCCCCCCCAAAGTTTTGTAACTCCCATGTAATTTATGATTTTGGCCCCCCAAACTTAATGAACATTTAATATATTTACTTGTATATTTACAATTTTATCCTCTCGAGTCCCTCTTAAGTTTTGTAACTCTCATATAATTTATGATTTTATCTTCTCAAACTTAATTATCATTCAATATATTTAAGTATATATATCTACAATTTTATCCTTTCACCATTTTATCTTCTTTCTTCCTTTTATATTTATTTATTATTTATTAATAATATATTATTTGGTCCCCCAAGATCAATGGTCCAGATTCGTCATTAGTTATAGAGGATGGAGTAGAAGGAGAACTTCTCCTTACGTCAACATACTTTACAATCAACAAATCCACAGGTTAGGTTGATTTATAAATAGTGATTGTATAAATCATATGACTCATAATTGAGAACTTTTTAAAGAACTCAACCAATATGTTGTTTCTAAAGTGAGAATTAGTAATAGAGAATAAATGGATGTGAAAGGTACAGAATAGTTGAAATTAAAAGTCATTCGGATATCAAATTAATTTTTGATATTTTATATATTCTCGATATTAATCATAATTTATTAAGTGTTACTTGATAAAAATTATAAGGTATCTTTTAAACACAAATTTTGTGTGATTAAATATGCAAATAACTTGAAAATATTCAAAATTTACATAAAAAATTCAGTTTCATTTTATATTTGATGAAAGAAGAATTGACGACAAAAGATAATATAAAAGAAAAGTCAAAGAAAAATCACGATAAATATTTCTTGAAGAAAGAAGAATTGACGACAAAAGAGAATATAAAAAAAAGGTTAAAGAAAAATCATGATGAATATTTCTTGAAGAAAGTTAAAAAAGAAAATAAATATATAAATGAAGAAATAATTTCCAATGTTCATGAAAGCAAAATAAAAGGAAGAATATGAAATTTAAATAAATAGGTATTAAAGTAACGAGGATTGTTAAAAATATTATTTTATTATTTTTTATTGAAATTAGATATTAAAATATTTTTATTATCTTTTAAAGAAAAAATAAAAAAATATTAAATCATATTATTTTGATTTAAATAATTATGATTAAGATATTATTAATATTTAATATTTTATAATATTTTTATTCTATATAAAAATAAAATATATGAATAAAATATTACACCTGTTTGTTGCCCTGAGTTCAGGAAATCAGGTGGTGGTTGAGGAAACACGATGGGTGTGAATCGAAACGTTGTTAAAGCAAAAGTTGTTGATATCATACAAGGATACCATATAAGTTGTTGTTGATCAAAGAATAAATGCATGCATCAGATTTATGGAGAAGGCATTGTTACAAGAAATAATAAGATCAATATAGACTTTACAAGTTTCTTACATTCAAAATGTATATCATGTAAATTCAAATTCCTGATAATTTTGAATTAACATAACTACTTTTTAAAATCAGAAGATAATGCAAGATTATAAAAATATTTACTTCAAATATTTGGGGAAGTTGGATGAATTTTTCCAACTGCTTCATTATAAGTTCATCTATAAAATCTTGTCGATTAAATAAAAACTTGTGGTCACTCTTACAAGTAAGATATGTGTTGATTTACTTTAATCTTATATATTATATATTAATCTAAATTGAAAATATTAGTTTTTATATTTGCACAAGTTGCATGCTTGTCATTCGGAAATATATCCAAATGAAAAGCTATTCGACTGCTCTTTATTAATTAAAAAAGCACTTCAATCTTGCTTTACAAGTTATTCCATTCTATTTTTTCACTCTCTTACAGTTTAAGTTTCTGTAAAGTATTAACAAAAATATTAGTTACTTTTTTTTCTCTTGTTAATGGAATCCATTAATTAGTCATGATATTTGAGCATTTTAGTTAAACTAATTTGATCAAATGAGCATTATTTTATTTATAATCAAAATTACTTCCTGATTTTTATTTTTTACAGAGAAAAACAACAAGTTTGGATGTCCGAATACAATTATTTTAAAATGATAAATATCACATCATATCGACTTCAACATTATTCCACCATGCAATTCCTTATCATGTTTTTTATCCAAAAGGAATCAGATGGAAGGAAGGGAATTTTATGTTCTCCATAAATCAAATTCTTTCACATCTTCCATATATATATATACCTGCTTTTGTCCTTCTTTTTTAACACCATTCCCATGTGACCTTTTGTAAAAATTAATATTAGGAATATTACACTAAATAATGGAGTTTAATTAACGATTATGTCCATCTAATATTCTTTTGCTGAGATTATATCATTTTAATCATTATATTAAGAATATAAAGTTGGTCCGGTCGTATTGGCTTCGTTGATTCCCTCGTTTCCACAAACCCAGTCTTACATATTACTCATGCATATAATGTTAAAGGCAATTAAAATATGTAGGTCCTATATTCTAGCCGACATAGAATATTTCTGCAATTAACTCTCATTTTCTTGCCAAAAATGAAACCATTCAAATATCTTGAAACGGCTACAGAATTTTTACCTTTTACCAAAAGTTATAAGCCAACGCTAAATTGACTTTAGTGTAGGCTTTGTTTCTCTCCTTATATGATGATAAATAGTTTGGAATTATAAAATTTTCAAAAATAGAAGTTAAATTGAAACTAATAATGATGTTAGATTTAGCATCAACAACAAACTTATTCAACTTGATTCTTCATCCCTGCTCACCAATCTAAAGCTACAACTTTCAAAAGTAAAAGTTGTGCAGGATATATATAACATAATATGCATGATTAAATAAAAGGAAAAAGAGAGAATAAAAAAAAAGTTATTAACTTTTTAGGTAGTTTTGATTTTGGTTTTAAGTAAACTAAACTCTCTATAAATGTGCTGAAACAATAAATATGGGAGTTATTTTAATTTCACCATATTAAAATTATCATTTGTAAGACAAATGTTTCCCCTTTCACCTCCCGCACACAAATAATTACACTAAACCTATAAAATAATTCCTTATCTAATTAAACTATCATTTCAATATATAGTTTGTTAGTTTATTCTAATTAATTGAATCTCATGGTACAAGGTTTTTTTAAGCAGGTTTGAGAATTTGAAATCTTAACACAAACAAAATTAATATTTAAAAATGATAAAGCAAAAAATTAATGATGAAGCAATAAATTATTTATAATTAAAAAACTTTAAATTACATGTGATAAAAAAACACGAAATCATAAGATTTTTTAAGAGCATGGAATCTTAAAAGAAAGGGAAGAGAGAGAAAAAATTGATATTTTAATAATATTTTTTCATTTAAGTGAAATCTAATACATTATTATGAAAACATAAATATCCAAATCTGTATCCATCAATGATATGTATAGAATAAAAAATATATAAAAGAGATACAAATAACACATGAGAAGTTAGGGAATGTGGAGATTTACGTAAAAACTTGAGGTAAACCATCCCTATTCTATAATTTATATATATATATATATATATATATATATATATATATATATATATATATAATACAATGTAGTAACAAAAACATTAACAAAACAAAAATTTAAGTATGAATATTTAGATTTATAACAAATTACCCTTGTTTAAGTTAAAATTACTGTCAAATTATACTCATATGTCTTATAATTTTAAAATAGATGTTTATTTTTCATATATTTTTAATAGATATTTATATTTTCTCTAATTTCTAAATAGATATATTCACCCTTTTATGTTTTTAATAAATAAATCACTTCCCGTTTATTTTTAATAAAATGATATTCATTTATTAAAAATAGTATATTGGCTAAAACTGAAATAAAAATTTATGAAAATTCAAAATTAAATTTTAAAATATAAAACTTAAAAAATATATATAAAATAATGTATTTGATATAAATAAAATAAAATCAATGAATGTTATTTTATTAATAGCATAAGGAAAGTGCATGTTATTTATTAAAAATAAAATAGAGGTGAATGTTAATTTAAAATTATAAAAAATATAAATATTTGTTTTTCAAAATAATAAGGAAGATAGGTGTTTATTTTAATAAAACTAAAAATAAATATGAATATTATGTAGTAAATAAATTCAATTTCACTGATAAAATATAAAATAGTGACATGATAAAGTAAAACAATTAATTGTTGAATTTCTTAATTCATGTTTCCTTACAACAATTGTATGTAAAATGTACTAGTCATGTACTTAAAATCATATGTGGTTTGAGCTGACCCTTCTTTTCGTGTGCTATTGCTGTGAGTGAATACTAAACCTATCTTTGGATATAAAATCATATCAGTGGTTACTTTTTAAGTATGATCATTTGGCAAATGCGAATATGCGTTTAAGCAAGATGAATTTCGGATATCATTTTCTGATACTACGTACCATTTCCCACATCAACCAAGCAAATACTTGTCTATTAAAAATTTAAGCACAGCGTATACAAATTTTGCAACTAACAGAACAACCTATCTGTTTAACTTGTTTATTTTATGACAATGATTTAACTGTATATTTAAACTTCCATATAAATATATATTTTTTATTTTAAACATATAGCATTTTTGGACTTATAAATAGCATGCACCTGTGTCTTTCTTGTACACCTGCGGCTAACTTCACTTGGTCTCCTCTCCTCTTCCTTTTCCTCCTATTACTTCCTTTGTTGACCTCTCAATTTCCCTGCATATTCTATTCTGTGACAAAGAAACTTCTCCAAAATCAAAGTCTATTACCAGAGCTAGATGCACATGGCTAACAACAAAAAGCATGTGGAGGGTTCTTCTTCATCAATGAATTTTGACCATCTTTTTGGCCCCAAGGACTCCTCTACTCCACCTTCCTCCACCGCCCTCTTTGCCTCCTTCTTTCCTCCTCCACCATCTGTATGTATATGCATCACCTTCTCAACTTGTGTGTGTGAATGAGTATAGCTTTTGAACCAGACGCTCTTCGATCAAAGTAAAGTGCTTTGATTATACATAATTATATACATATTATAGAGAGTCTGGGCGTGAGTATATACTCGTTCGCGAATTATAATTTGCATATCAGTCACATACTCAACCTGTTACTCTTTCTTAACATGTAAGGTTGGAGGGAGTGAATCAAGAATACAAGAAGTGGGAAGCAAAAATTTTGGAGCACCAGGTTCCTTCATCAAAACTTCATCCTATACGTGCTTCAATTTAATTAATACAGTACTAGTTAATTACTTTGATTTGACTTGAATGCATGTGCATGATCTACCTCTACCTCTATCCCAATATTTTCATTGTTTTCAATTCAGCCCGTACACACATCTCAAATGTTGTCTAGGTACTGGGAACATGTGGCTTTAAACCTCTTTCAATGTCTGGTTTTATTTAGTAATGGCTCAGTTTGGATTCGCTTTAGGAAGTAAGAGTAATAAAGGTGAAAGTAGCAGTCGCATGACTAAGAAGAACAATAGTGCCAATTATCAGAATGAGACATTGGAGCCCAGCTACTTCAGCTCTTCTATCTACTATGGTGGTCAAGAAAATTATTCCCCTAGAAACAGGACCACTCAACCCCACCATGTTGTGAGTGCCATAATTCTCATCCTTTTTTCTGTGTGTGGCCCTTGTTTCACGTATATGGACTATTCATCAAATACACTCATCTGGTTTTACTTATTATTGCCTTATAATATCTATTACTTTTCAAAAATAACTTCATCCCATTAGCTACATATATTTTTTCTCCCTCTCAAGATTATCAATTTTATCACTAAAAGTGAGTAAAGTACAGACAAAAGACACAAATTTCATCTACTTTCATTTCTTTAAGTGGCTCTACAAAAAAAAATTATTTCATCCCACATAAAAAAGTTGAGAATAATGGATCAATGATAATTTTATGATAAGTAAAAGATAACAAAACATGTTTCACTCAACACTTCACTTTAAACTAAACTTTAAACATGCAATTTAAAAGAAAATAGACAAAATACCTTCTGCAGATTGATTAGCTATCCGTAAATTTTTCTCAAACTCTAAATTTATTTTCCTATATAAACTTGTTTGAAATTAATATTTATATTTTTGCCTGATGAAATATTAACAATTTCTAAATCGGCAAGTAATTAATAAGAGTATCATTATGCAACGAGGTTAATTTCATGACCATGAGAAATATGATTAAAAAAAACACAAGATAATTTGCTATTGGAGTGTGTAATGATGATATTGAAGGTGGATAGACAATAGTTTAAATAATCTAAATTTTTACCTGTGCAGTTCAAGAAAGATAAGAATGATGATGATCCCAATGGCAATAATGATTCATACAGCGCAGCAAGAGGAAACTGGTGGCAAGGTAGCTAAAGAAACACCTCTAGTTTAGGACATTCTTGGACCAGTAGCTAAGGAAATTAAAAATGTCATCTAAGAAGATAATATTATAAAGAAACACCTCTAATTAATTTACTCACTTTTAGTGCACCTTTATTATTTTTGGTTTCTGCAGGTCCCCTTTATTATTAACACCACATTACGTAGTAAAAAAAAATCCCAGCATTCGTTGAGCAGGTATCACTTCCTCCCTCTTTTATCTTGTAAAATGTAACTGTCATATAACCATTGGCTAGAAGAATACATTTTAAATAAATATCAGCTTATATTTTTTAATATTAATTAAGTTTTATTGAAAATTACAAGTTTGTGTGAGTTTCTTTTGTTATTTAATTAGTCAGACCTATATAGTTTTGTAATTTGTTATATATCATGCTTATGATGGAGATCAATTTCGTAATACACAGAAAATGATAAATTTGGACAATATGCAGTGTAGTGATTGCTATGGTAGCCCTTGTCCTGAAATAATTTCTCTAAATTCAGCTTAACTTTGTTTCTAGTAACTATAGTGAATAAGGGCAAATATATAGCAACAAAAGCTTATAATCATTAAACTATGATCTGGTACATTATGATGCTCGAACCTGCATTATTTCCCCTATCAAAAGCTTATAATAATATCTTCAATATATAAGTGTTGTCTGCAGTTAAAAATGACAAAATCTTGGACATTGTTTAAATAATTTCAATCGTTTAGATTCAAGAGCTGCACACCCTCTGAGATGATCCTCTTCTGTCTTTAATTTGATTCACTTATTAACGTAATTGAGTTGATACTGTTGTAGGGTGAAGATCAACCACGGTTGCTGTAGTGGCAATAAGTCATGGTAGGGCATATGTCCTACGAGTTTAGTACTCCTTTCTCCAAATATTGGGTACTTTTTGTCCCAAATATCTGGTTAATTACTCCTCAGCAGTCAAATCGCCACAAAAGCTTGGGGCCAAAACTACAATCAATTACTTTGTATTAATTTTATTTTATATTTTATATTAAAAGGTTTTTATATTGGCAAGCTTGTAGTTGTAGAGTGTTGCTTTGTTATAATCATGTGATGTGATCCTGTTCAATAACTAGTCATAATAATTCCTCGTGCTAATTTTGTTCTCGACTATATATGCATTTGGACTTTTAGTTTTCGAATCTGAGTTTTATTTTTTTGTTCCTTCTATAAACCACCGTACCTTAGATAGAACATCAATGGTGATAATTTATATTGCCTTAAAACTTCTCTTGGTGAAGATAAATAATCCTTATTTAATGTTAGCTTAATGAGCTAATGCGATAAAAAATAAATTAACCATATCATATTAAAAGCCTTAAAACAAATTCTAGGTATCATAAAATTCTCTTCTGATTATCCATTAGTTCAAACTACTAATGCTGACATGTCCAATGTCACATATAAAACTCTTCCGTCCCATAACTCATCTTCCAAGAGAATGAGTATATAATCCGTAAAATAGATAATTTGCAAGTAAAATTGGATACACAATTTTAATGCTGTCACATAACCAAAACATGGGCGAAATGGTTTCCCATTAATTATTTATTTATTTATTGCAAAACTAAAGCTAGATTTTGTTTAGCCAAAGTTTGATATCGCTTAAAATTATATGACCTGAATTTTCTTGATCTAGCCTATTTATTTGTCATATTTAAAAGAAAATAAAATTAGTCAACATTGTGAAAGTATGACTTGATCTACCATATTACGAAAGATTTATCTTATGATAATTCAACACACACAAAATGATAAAAAAAATTAAGTTAAGGCCTAATATAAATTATTTACAAAATATTAACTTATTTAGAAATATAATATTTCGCAGCAAAGCCATATTAATATTTCAATGCAATTATAAATTTTAAAGCAATTCATGTAACTTCATTCAAAAGCAAAATCGCAGAAAAAAAATTATAACGCCGTTGCCGGGGATCGAACCCGGGTCGTCCGCGTGACAGGCGGAAATACTTACCACTATACTACAACGACATCTGTTGACAAATTTGATTTATACTTTTAATTTAACAATTATTTAATTCAACGAAAAAAAAGATCCTTCAAAAATTTTATATATATATATATATATATATTTCTTTTTTTCTTTTTTTTCTCAGTAAAATATAATGGATATTTTAAATGTTTTAATATAATTGAACTTGTTAGTTTTTCTTTTTCATGATGCACGACTCTAAATGTAATTAATAACTATTTTTTAAATATTTATTTTAGTTTTTATATTTTTTTATAAATAAGTAATGTTGTTCTAAGAGCATTATCAGATATGTTTACAATTTTATTTCATTGATAATTAATATAAGAAATTTGCTACAAATAGCATTAAGAATTGGAAAAAAAAACTAATGTCTATTAAATTATAATTTATCATCATAGTTATGACATTCAATTTCATAAAAATAAATTAAAATTCTACCTATTACTTTAAAGAAAAAAGAATATAGTATAAAACCAAACTATTACTTTAAAGAAAACTGTTTTTTTTCCAGAATCGAAGATCAAAAAATATTGAACACCAATTTAATAAAAATTGAACTGATCAAAACAGGTTTTGAAATGAAAATCAACCCTTGATGTGATGGAAGAAAAACCAGGAGACATACATTTTGGAGGGAGGAATACTCAAAACCATGTATTCTAAATACATTAGATAAATGATTTTACTCTGAATACGGTCTTCTGATTGATACAATTGGTTCTGAACTGATGATCCGTGTCAGATTTCAGCTAAAGACTGTAAATAATAACCCCCAACAACAACACGTTTCTATTCTCAACCAACAACATAATATTTTGAGGACTCAAGTAACAAAAGATGCAACTAGTAAATGATACAAGGAGATGGCTGTTTTACTGTACAACCTCACCAGTCATTTTGTCTTGCCATTCGTGGCATGTGGCTTCTTTTGACGTTCTGCCTGTTCTGCTTTATCGCTGCTTGGGTTTGAACCATTCACCACATTTGAATTGCTAAAAACCTTTGTTTCTTTTGATTCTGCCCCTAGATAATTTGACAATACTCTTCTTACACCAAAGCCACGACGTTGAGGTTTGATGTTGTTGTTGTTATTATTGTTGTTGTTGCTGAGGAAAGGAGATCTCTCTCCCCTTGCAGGACTAATTAATGGTGGTGCAGCTGAGAAGCTTGGTGTTCCAACTGCCTTGTGAGGAGTGCCTGAGACAGACACTGTCATTGGAACCAATGGAAACCTATCTGAATGTTTAGTTAAGCCATCCACATATAGCAAATCGTCTATGCGAGCTACAATGTTAAATGCCATGCTCTCCAAAACTCTTGAATAGCTCTCTAGTATGGATTTTCCAACATCCTGCATGTTTCAATGAAACGAAATGAAATGTGTTAATGTGGAAGGCTTTGATAGAAAAGATTGCAAAAACTGGATGAAAATAAGGAAATAGAAGCATGGAACCTTGTTGCATTGGATCTTGCTGGTATCCAAGGTAGTTTGAGTTAGACCCGGGAATCGTTGCTTCAGTGAAAGCAGAACATTTTCAGCTCTTTCTGCTAATAGTTCTCTCTTATCTCCATCAGCCATGAAATCCTTCACAATTTCCCAGGATGACTTTGTAGTTGAACGGTTAGGATTAGGTGGGGGTTTAGAGTGAGCTCTTCTACGCCACACATATATTGAGGCTTCAACACGGTTTGCAATCTCTAGTGTCACATGCTCGGAGGAGAGGTCTAGGCAATCAAGCAGACACTCTGGAGAGAATTTCTCTGATGTGATGTAATGGTAAATAAAATCCCCCAAGCAAGTTCTTCCATTCTGAAAGTTTAACAATGAATCAACTTTGTTGGAAGCGCCCTTTTCCAAAACCAAATTCTAAAATTTATATCCAAGATGATTTTTAACTGGTTGACACTGTAAAAAAATTTACACTGGGAGTATATGAAAATTAAACTCACTTTGCAATGTCTATATATATAATCAATTCCATGTTCTTTTTTAATCATTGGTCTTAAGTATATAATGAAATCAAATTCTATTTACGTTCAAAATAATTATACCTTGGGAAGGGTTTCCAAGTATGACTCAGGAACTTCCATTTCAGCTAAAGCACCATTGTTGATAGCCATGGCAGCTTTTAGTATTTGGCTTGCACATTCTCTTGTGTGATTCAACTGCTTTCTCGAGTTCTCACTGAGGCCGGCAGGGGGCACACGAGGTACAGGGAGCCACCACTTATCCTCTTGTCGATGAATTATTTTGCAGAATGAAGTTGAACCATCTGCATCTTGGGCTACAATGCCTTGGTCAACATACCAAAACTCCATATCTTTGCAACTATCTAAAATTTCCTGTGATAAAGATAAGTTTACAAGAGAGTGTCAGAGCAGTTTCTCTACCAACTATTACTCTACTACCACACCATGAAAGAATAAGATTCAACACTCACAAGAAGCATGTTGTCAAGTTTGCGCAGGGCCGGAAGATTCATAAAAAGATCTGACCTTGGCCTGCAAGTCATTACCTGTAGAATGCACCATACTATAAACATCACAATTGTAATTCATATTATAGTTCTAATTACGTACAAAAAGATAGATCTTTATTGAAAATAAAATTGAAGTCATAGATGAGCAGTCAATCCAATTATACCTCTAGCTTACTTCCATCTGGAAATGTTTGCCAGGAAGGTATTAACTCAACAATGTGATCACTAACACTAAGAAGCCATTCCATCTCCCTACGCCACATTTCTTTCTTTTCACAAGGTACAGGTTCTAGTCTCCATAATTGCCCAAATACAGTGGCTACAAGTTGCATCAAATTCGAATCAAAATCATTATAACAACATCAAAATTCACATTAAAGGAAATTTTGAAATTTTGCCAATCCAGAAGAGGTACCGTAACACAATACATGCGTCTTAGAGAGAAAGCATACCACACAAATTTGTAATGGCATTTGAGATGGCCAAAGCACTGCAGACTCCTTTCCCAGATCCTGACATATCCTCCCCAAGCAGTAATTTTGCAAACCTTTCCTTCATAGCATCAATTCCTGATCCAGCATTGTTTCCTAGTAGTTAGACAACAACCAAATAAATACTAATAACTAAACCCACCAAAGTCTCAGTCTTTTTCCAACTTTCATAAAAGCATCAAATTCAAAACTTGCAAAAATGTTGTTAGAAACTTTCTAGTCCCAACTTACCTGGCATTTTTGAACTGATGCTGGTAAATTTTGTATCTTCCAAGTGAGAAACAGGTTCATTTTCTTTCTCATCAGATTTGCGGCATTTGGACAGTGTAGCCTTACGAATAGGCCAACCAAGAGGAGGAGAAGAACACCCTTTGGGTTCTTGAGTTGAATCACTGGCAGAAGAAGGAAGACCCTCTTTTTTCTTCTGAATGTTTTCACCCTTGTTGCATAAAGCCTCCATCTTGAAAAACTTTCTCTTGGAACAAAAGCCTTGCCTTTTGAAATAAAATCACCCCAATGATGGCTCAGTCTCCTCCAACATATCCCAACAAAGCGACAGTAACAGTTTCTGCCGAAACAGTGAAGGAGTTTGCAAAACAAAGAAAGTTGCGAGGTGGGTTTTATAGATTATCGTGTATGAAGGGACCGTTGAGGTTGCTGTGGACACAGCATCGTGGAAAAGACGATGGTATGAAGAACAATGTGGCTTTTTGGGGAAAGGTTTGTTTGTGTCACAGAACAGTAGTTGTGGTTTCTCGCTCTCTCTGTCTCTCTCTCTCTCTGTTCCAAATTTGAAGTGTGGAATGCCACATGACATACCAACGTCTCTCTGGCTTTCGCTCTCAGACTAACTCAAATTTCTGGTTATGTTCAAAATAATACTAAACAATTTATATCTGTTTGACCTTTTCTGCTACTCACATTATATGCAAATAAAAAAATATGAAGATGATAAAAGATATTGGCGTAAGCTACTCTCAATGCATGTTAAGCTTTCTGATCTCTGTTTAATAATATATTGTTTTACTTTCATACTTTTTAATAAATATTCTCTCTACAGTGAAATTTTAGAAATACGTACTAAATCTATTTGATAAATTCATTCTTACAAAGTTTTAGTACTTTAAATTATTTACCTGCTTTTCCTTATTGATTATGAATAAAATATGTCTATATTATTTTGAAATTACTTACTTTATGTTATTGATTTCTTATTCATGTAGTTGTTTCTTATTCACGTAATTTATTGAGTACAAATCTTCAGTAATAACTTTATGAAATATTATTTGTATCGTATCAATTATGTTTAAGTAACATCTAATTACATTTTACATAAAATCCGTTGCTTCAAAAATGGCTTGTTTTATATGAATGATTAATTAACTTTTATTTTCTCTGCTTTCATTTCAAATTGTTTCGAATGGATATGTTTATAATTTTAAGTTTACTTTTTAGGCTTTATTATGGAAATTAATTGTGAATATCGCTTATAATTTATAACCTTTCTAATTATATATTTTTAATTCGTATTTTAAATTGTATATGTATTTTATATACGACTGCAATGCAATATTACAGTTTTAAATAAAGCAAATTAATCTAAATACACATGCTAATATGCTAAAAACACCTAATTGTATCTTTGAATCACTTTTAAACTTTTATTGATCTCTTTTAAATTATATACTAATGGTCTTATTATTCTTATAATATTAATTAATTTATTTATTTCCTTCCATCCTTATATTTTATTTAAATTTTATATAATATCCAAGCATTCATTTTTGTTCTTCTCTATTTATACTTTATTTTTATCCTTAAAATAGAGAGACGCATAGCCTTGTCTTTGCCTAGTATCAATAAAAATGGAGTCCTTTTTCCAAAATATGGCATATCATTAATTGGAAGGAAGAATAGAAGTTTCGTGTGTAATGAATGAAACAGTTGAATTAGGTACATATTTGAATAGAAATAGAATTGTGAATTGATAGTTCTTGATTTAAATTTGAATGTAATACAATTTTAATTGCAGTTAAAAGTGAGTGGTGGGTATTAAGGTCCTATCCATCTCATCTCACCCAGAACCACCATAGATCCATTTTTGTCCAAGGAATTCTCAAGTGAAATGCTTCTTGAAATATCATTCTGGGAAAAATAAATGGCCTGCATATTCTCCTCATTCTGGGAACACATATATTAATAATGTGTTCGCGTATTTTCCTCTAGCTGTTTTTGTGTGTATTGAGTGCTGATTCTTTTATCACATGTTAAGGAATGTTTAGTGTTGCAATATTATTATAGTTTTGCTTTTCTTCTTTGGTATTTTTTTTCTGTAGAACGTTGTAAGTGTTGTATTTACATTTTGGTTTAGATGCTTTAAACATTCAAATGTCTCTCCCTCTTTCTACATCCATGCATCTTCCCAACAACAAAAGGATGAAACTTTTCGCCTGTAAACACCAACAACGGTTAGCACATTGTTTGACGAATGGAAAGAGAAAAAAATTTAATGTTCTTATATCCCTTTGGGAAAGAATAGGTAACGTTATAGCCGTTGGAGTTTGGTTTGAGGTAGATTGTTATGTTAATTTTCCAAAGTTCATTCATTTCATACACCCTTGGACTCTACCAAAACCAAAGGACTGTAAAAGTGTTATTTAAGAAAATAATGTTTGGTCAATCAAAACCACACCTGGGTCATATTTAGAGAAAAAATGTTCATCTCTCACAATATACTTGTGTGTTCAGTTTGACATTTAAAGTTGAATATTGTGGTGTAAAAAATAAAAACTATTTAAGGTATTTTAAATTTAACTGTAATATCATCGTTTAACTTGATTGAATGTAAAATAAATCAATAAATCCATTACGTGTGTTATGCATGCAAGCAAAGAAATATAATTCACCGTTCAAAAGTTATCATTTTTCAATAAATAATATATCCCCATATAAATCACTTTTTTTTTAGGCACTTATTTTAAAGGTCCACACTATATATATTCCTCTTCTTAACATAGGTTGTACATTTTGGTTGAATCCATATTCTTGAAGCAATAATTATTAACTTGAGTTACCACTTGGCACTTGGTAAAGTACGCTTTTCTTCTACTTTTTGTACCGAAGCTACACGTTTGAATTCAAAACCACAAAAACAATACGTCCTTTCCTTTCTAGTGCTGAATTTCAAACCCAACGACAAAAATATAGAACAGAAAATGAAAAACCCGGTTTTCTTTATGATCACATGAACTGTGATGTCTATTCAAATTCTTTTTGTATTTTCTATATTTTTAATAAAAAATATTTGTTGAAAAAATGTGAACATTAACTCAACGTTACTCTTCATGTGCATTCGTGCAGACTCTTTATTTGTTTGAAATAGCGCTGATGAAAATATTTACTGTGTATAATGGTCCCCCCTAAGCATTAAAAATTTTGTTTCCACATTTTGTTTTGTGGTTTGGTTCGTCACATAACTCAACTTCGTCTATTTTTGCCACTGCATTTAACTAGAACACCTTAGACGAACAAAACTACAAAACCCATTGACGTCGATTGTGTTTGTTGTTTTATGTTCTTCTTTTCGTGGTGCTATATTTTTAGAGTGTCTATGATAATAATTACGGGATTATCATTTCGAAATATGTTTTTCTTTTGTACAGTTCAAAATGTTTATTCTGAAGCAAAGTAGAGTTTCTTTTCTAATAAAGGCGAAGAATAAAACTATATACAGGAGTAGGTGCAGGTAGAAAGGATGGGGTGCAAGAAGTAATTAATTACTTTATAAAAATATCATCTTTCAATTGGGTAAAGAAAATTCTCAAACCCAATTAGTTTGGGCTATGTCTTATGAAAGTTTGGAAGGGTTTGGGTTAATTCAACCGATTCAACTTGGTCCATTCTAAAATAATCGTCCATTATATAATATCTGTTAGGATTTGGTCTCTTTTAAATTGTTCTTAATCAATTAAACTTACAATATTAAATCGGTTAAATGCTGAATTGTTAAGATAATTGAAATTAAAGAATTCTTCATAATCAACTGAAAATAACGCTATAGAAATATTAATCTCCCTGAAAAAAAGTGGCTCTATAAAAGAATGAACAAGTGAAGTAAATAATTCAAAAGGTGCAATAGAATAACTTTTAAACAAATATTGAAAAATAACCAATGATAAATAAGTAGAAAAAGTAGAAAACAATATAATAAAAAAATTACTGTAAAAGAATAACAAAAAACCAAAATATTGATACTAGACAATATAGTCAAATTAGAAAAAAATGTTTCACAAAACTATATTTCTGGAAAATATTGAAGAAAAAATCGAAAATCATTCTGATAAATAAATAAATAAAATGCATGATGAAAGTAGTATAAAATATAAAAATAATAATAAATAAAATATTTGAGATAGAATTTTAAACAAAATAGGAAAAAATATATATGGTAAAATGTGTAAAAATATTGAAAATAATACAATATAAATATTTAAAAAGGTAAAAAACTTGTAAATAAATAAAATTAATGTGAAATTTTTAAAAAATGTATAATAATGCTAATGGTATGTGTTGAAAGCATGGAAAATAAAAATATATAAATATAAATAATTAGAAAATATATAAATGTAAGAAAATAAAAATAATATTGAGGAAAATAAAAAATTTGATGATAAAAAGGTCATGGAAAAATATTTCAAAAGTATACAAAAGTATAATTTACCCATATCATTCTTTTCTTCTACAACCCAAACCCACTTTGACTAATTGCAAATCAACTAAGGTTATACCCACAAATAATTGACGGAATATATCCAAGGGAATTTTTTTATTAATTAAAAAATATAAAATTAGAAGAAGAAAAAAAAACTTAAAAACGATGTGTAATCAATGAAATTTATTGATTTTTATAATAAATTTTAATTAAAAGACAAAATGCTCTTAAAAGAATGTGTTATGTAGCCCCTGCACCCAATGTCCTGTCATTTCTCTAAGTTCTACAACCGTTAAATGATATTTGGGCTTCAAACTTTCGAAAATATCAAACCAAGAAACGACCCTTGTGGGTTTTTGCTAAACGCACCACTTCCTAACTTTCAAAAGATAAGAAAAATTTTCAGACAAAAAAAATTGAAAAAATATCCCAAACAATTTATTATAAAACATTAATGAGATGTTGTTTTGCATAGCATCTTTGAGAATTAGATTCATAAGATACGATGATTTATAAAATCAAAAGAGAAATTATCAAGATAGCAAATTTGTGATTCTTTTGGTCTTGCTTTTTTTTTAATAAATTTTAGCTAATATGAGATTTAAGTATATTTTTTTAGCTAAAGCATTTCTTACCTTATTTATATCGTCTTTTATTATAATAGGATATACTTGATTAAAAAGTTTGTTTATAATACATTATCTATTTCATTTTATTCTTGATCAAGTTATATCATATATAATATCACAATTTAATATTTTTGAGTGATACAAAAAATTTTAAAAAACATTTATAAATAAGACCACAAATAAATTATATATAAAAAATTATTTTACTATAAACCTTAATATATATATAAGGTCTTTAATTATAACATAAAAAACACACAAATCTAAAAAAGTAGTTTAATAGGAAGACTATACTTCTATACACAATAAAAAATCTGACCTTTTCATTTTATGGGAAACATGACATATAATAATGAGTTTAAATTTTCTGTCAAATGAATAATCTATGTATATATCTTTATTATCATAAGATCTATCTTAGTAATTGCAAGCTTATGAATTCCAACTTATCAAATTTTTTAATGTAAAATAGGTACATGTACTGATGCACAAAACGTGTGGACACTCCTAG